AATTTTTTTAATAATCAAATAAAAGAAAATTTTCTCCCCTCTTTCATTTCCATTAATCCAAATACACTGTAAAAGTAAGTTAAAATTAAAAGCTTTAATGTCTAATATTCTTTTACATTAACAATGAATTGTTCTATTTCTTAAAAAATGAAGTGAATTCATATTCCTCATTCATTCCTTAGTTTAGTAAAAGATAATCAACATTACAATTTAGATATTCATAACTCCCTAAGAAAGTTTTTCAAATTTATTTTAATTTTATAATTTGATTAAAAAATAGTAATTACCACCAACTAAATATTACGTAATTGCAATCCGACACTATATGACCTATTGATCATTTTCTTTGTAAGAATGTGTCTATATGTGAAAGTCTTGGGATCTATTTTCAGGCACTATTCTCCATTTCTCCCAACAATTCCCCTAAGTAAAAAAAAAAAAAAACATAACGTAATTGCAACCCTATCCTCCTGCTGCCATCCCTTTCGGAAAACGTCGCTTATTATGAAATAGAGGAAATGGGGCATTATAACTTCTTAATTTTTGATCTTATATACATATAAACAATTGTTAAATAAAATTTAATGTAACTTTTTTTTATACAATTGATACATAATGCAATCTTACTTAAAAATTCTTTAATAATTATATATATATATGCTATTAATCGATCGAGTTGATAATTAGTAAATTTTACAAAGTAAAAAGAATTTATCATAACTTTGTTGATACACCTAATATATTACCCTGTCATTAGTTAGAGCATACGTAAACAATAAACTGTTACAAATAATCAATACTACTGTAAGATTAGATTAAATCATGAATAAGGAAAAAAGTTTGAATAAAAAACCCAAATGGACGTCGGCCATATAAAAAATTCGCATCTTCATCATTTCGACTCTTACTTGGAATCTCTCCTTGCAACCAGATGACAAAACCAGCCCGCCTTTTTCTTGTCAACTATTTACTTTTCAAGCAATTTGACCTAGAACGCAACAAGTTTCACTGCCGACGTTCTTCTCTTCCTATCCAAAATTCCAAATTAGACGTTTTCACTTTCAACATTAATTCGTTTTCCTTCTAATCTTTCCAATATTTCCATTTTGTTAGGGTCCACCGTTCAATACCCCTAATCATCATGAAGGAAGAAACATTACATTTGGCTCACTTTGTGAAAAGATAAATATTTCATTTAAGAAAGTATAAAAAGTTGTACTGCATAGATTATCGTCCTCAAAATGCACTTGGCATCTCATTCTAAACAGCTACCGTTTATGTCCAAAAACAGACCAACATCCCACACTGGCATTTAAACAAACACCTGGTGTGCAACACCAAAATAATCTCAAATCTTTTGTCCTTATCGCCTCCAAACCCAAAGAATTACAAAAAATGGAAAGCACTATCAGAACAAATCAAATGAATCACACACTAACATCAATTTATTCCAAAACACAGAAGATTAGTAAAATAATAGAATTTTGCACCTTGAAATTGGAGACCTAAAAGGTCCCTTTGCTGTGAGAGGCAACAAGTGATGACCTTTTAAGCGGTTCTCTCTGTTCGTGTTGAAAGAAAGGATTCTAGCTGCCATAACTTGAAATTGATGACATGTATTCTGCATTTTGCCTTAACCCTGTATTTTATGCTCATCCTCCTATTCTGCATTTTGCCTCTACCCTCTTTTACAGCAGTTTCACATGATAACGGTAACCCATGTCTACATGTGATCACAAAAAGTTCAGGTTGAGAGTTTATTTCAATATAAGGCCGAGAACGCCACTGACCTCAGTGGGGACATATAGCAGTATTTAAAGATCCCTTATCCCTTAACTACAAGAAATTGCTTGCGGCAGGATTCAAACTTAACAACTGACAATAAAAGAGTTCAAACCTTACTAGTTAAGCAAACCCTGATGCACGAACCCATGCCTACATGCCTACAAGGAGAAGAATTTGATGGTTGCTAAGCTATACTTCTTATTGTTTTGGTTACACAATGAGGTGGTCTCCTTTCATTATTTTAATCATCTGATGCACTCAGGCACTTCTTCTTCTTCTTCTTCTTCATTTGCTTTTTTTTTTCTTTTACTCTTACCCATTCACATCAAATCTTACTAGTGCAAGAAAAACATGATGCAGTTATATATCTACCGATCTAACACATAATGCAAGATTACAATTCTAATCATATAAGGAAAACCCACAACCACTAATTGAATCCTTTAACCATAGAAAGGATTTGGTCAGTATAATCCCTGCCAATCTATCTGCATCAGTCTCCTTTGCTTGAAAGATCAATCTGTTTCTCATCTCCCAAACATGCCAAGTAACTGCACTCAGACGTTTTTAGTACTTAAATTAATGCTCTTTACTTTCACTAGAATGAAATTATTATCAAACTTTTAGGTCCTTAACAATATCAAACTAATTAAGATGTCTAAAAATAAGGTTTCATCACATACAATATTAATCTTTTGTAATTTGTTCATATTGGGGTACATATAGATACTAAATCTCCATTCTCACAATTCTTAAGATTACAACATTACACATCCATATATTTCATCAAACTCCAATATGTTCTATATATATATATATATATTTATTTATTTATATATATACTAACTAATCTTATGGAGGGAATTAAGAAATTTCAATGCTTAAACTATTAAACCCTTGCTCTTGGCAGGCAAAACTTTACAGAAAAAGAAGAAACTTCAGAGCATTTTCTTCCTTACCCACTACAATTAATTGGCCTAGCTAGACGATGATCTTAACATCGGTTGACATCAATCAGATGAAAAACTTGAATTAACTAACCCAAATTTCCCCACAATTCTGTAGGTGCAAAATCCCTAGCTCGAGCCAAAGATAGAAAAAGGAAGAGCGAATAAGTACACCTTTAGCAAGCTCATGACTATCTATGTAATGCTTTTAGGGATAACTCCATAAGGTTTCTACATCTGAATTCTCCGGTGAATCATCGGAAGGCGGCGAGTGTATTCTCGGCGGGCTCACCATCATTGCTCCCGCCATATCCACCAACAACTTTGGCATATTCAGAAGCTCCTCCTCATCAACAAATTCTTTCTTGGACTGCTCCTCTCCAAGACCAGCTGTAATGGTATCATCACCCGTACTTGAGCCCGCCTCTTCTCCTCGATCCAGCTTGACACCCATTTCATGTTCGGGCTTTGGCTGCTTCAGCGCTGCCGCACTAGCCGCCGCAGCTCGTATATCGCTCGCAGAGGTAGAAACCGGTACTGGGTATGAAAGATGCATATCCGGGAAGTTCAGTGGTAGTGATGATTCAGGACCTTTAAGGGCAATTGCTGCCACATCGTATGCAGCGGCAGCCATCTCAGGGCTGGGGTAGGTTCCCAGCCATATACGAGTAGTCTTCCGAGGCTCGCGTATCTCGGACACCCATTTGCCGCTCCTGCTCCTGATTCCCTTATACTTGGGATGCCTCCGGGAGGTCCCAGGCGACCTCGGGGACTTCCCCGGAGACCGAATGGGTCCGGGTGATATGATGTCCGGTGCAGATTTTGAAGACTGCTGATCGTGTGGCTGCACCTGCACCTGGAGGGTAGGAGTAATACTAGTAATAGCAGGCTGAGGCTCTTGAGGGTCAAGAGGTTGTAAAGGTAGGGCAATTGGTGGGAATTGGTCTTTGAAGCTTGATGGGTCAGCCATACATGGCACAACTAACTGTTAACTGTTTGAGAATAACTGATGGCTGTTTTAACAAAGGTCAAAATTTTACATTCAAATAGTACAACATGTTAGAAAAACATAAGGTGTTAAAGATTAGAAAAAAAGGATTGTTGTGGGAGGTTTTTATAAGAGGAGGGAAAGCGTGGGGGAATCGCGGGGGGATTTTGCACAATAAAAAATCTAGTTGATGTGATGGGGGAAAGAAGTTGAGGCTGTGGCTACGGCAGGCTGGACCACACGTATTAGCCGCAATGAAAATAACTAAACACTGATTAGCTGTAAGTTACCTGGTTCCAATTCGTGGAGTACGATGATGATCGACCCGACCCGTGTTTCTTTTCAATTAAAACGTTGGTTTTTGAGTCTCTGTCATTCAGCATTTGCTTGGCTCCTAAGTTGAGCCGAACTCAGTTTAACAATTCTATGTGATTTACTTAGGGTAAGTTGTGCAAAATTATGTGGGAGAATGGAGACAATAGG